CAGCAGATACGCTTAATAAAGTGTATTTGTTGAGTGCATTGAGGTGGCACTAAGGGTTGGTTCTTTCCGGGTACCACACAGTATCTGTACCAGATGTTTGAGCGATTTATGAAGTCATCCTCGTCATCCTCTTGGCAGTAGAGAGGAATGCGAATTACCAAAAAGGCGATGTCGGTGAAGATGCCTCAAGAACGAAAGAGCGATCCCGCACCTTCCAGATATGGTAGAAGAGTTGGGAACAGGTGACTCGAGAACGAAGGATTTCCAGACTCGCAGTAGGGATGGAATGGTGGCAGAGAAAGGTGGGCCACTTCCTTGTGGATTTCTTGTCAGGTCACCGCTATTTTCAGTCAAACCTAAACTTAGATTTTCACAGACTTCTTTCTAATCTTGCCTAAAAAATATAACACACCTAACTTAAGTTTATAACAGTTCCTCCAAAGGTTCTTCCACAAAAAACTCTGGATTTACTCGAGGAAGCTCACTTAGGAAACTAGCGTTCATTGTTTATCTGTCAATTTTAATCATGACAGACCTTATTTCACAGATTTTGTTACTATTACTTAATGTTATTGTATGAATGCTTAGGATTTTTTATGTCCATCGACCGGTAAGCTAGCAGTGAATACAGTATAGCTACACTGCATTCACATCTGCTTAGTATTTATTTGCTTTCCTCAATTAAAAATGCCTGCTAGCTGGTAAAATACTCTCTTCTTGTGTTTCCTTGGCCACTGTAGCTTACGACATTGATTATCTATCTATGTATCTATACTATTATAAAATTGAGGTGTAGCCTGTCTGTCTGGGCAGCTGTCACGACTAAACTTATAAACCGATACAGCCAAAACTAAGCACAAAGAAGGTCCACACATCTAGGAATGTCATATGCTTATTAACCTCCCTGAGTTCCTTTCGGGCTACACCCCTTGGATGTCCATAGTTTTGAGGTGAGGTTTTAAAAAGTAATTATTAATTGGTCTCCATGGAAACCTGAGAAAATTCGCAATGTTTACCTTCGTGCTGCTGGCTTAAATGTAAACAATCAGAACTGTCAAATGCTCATTTTACTATTAGAAAACTGATCTAAAGAAATTAAATATATTTTAGACAACTATGTGGTAGGATTATGTAATCTAAAACTTTCTCATGGATTATTTATTCTAAATCTATTTCTGTAATTATGAAACTGATTTTTCTTCCCGTTGTGAAGCACGGGTACAGCAGCTAGTTCTAAATCAGAAAAAATGTATTGCAACAATATACACATTTACCGTTGCATAATATTCATTAGGTTGACTTGCAAAATAATATAAATATTCAGATTCTATTTAATCGTAAATCGGATGGATTCTCATAGGTTACTGTACACCTAGCTTGTCAATGACTGAAAAACAATTTCCATTCAGTTGGACTTTTTACCCTCCATAGACCAAGGACGACCGTCATGGGAATGCGACTTTCGCCGACATTGTCAGTCCGAAAGCAATATCGCTCTTACTAGTAGGGCCAGTGGGTCGCTGGTGACGGGTATTTGACTATAGGAGTGTGACTAAACCATCCAAGTGGCTCTCCTTTCCCTCTTCGCGATGTAGTTTACAAACACAAACACTTGGTGATGGGAGGCAATCACTCCAGTCTAGGTTTCCAATTTCTTGGTTGTAGGCTTTTCAATTTATTTTAATTGTAGCCTATAGTTTTAGATGTTGCTATTTATTATAGCTTAAGACATGGCTAATCCATACGTCTCTGCTTGTTTGTTCTGGATAAACACAACAAATACTGAACACACAGGCTACAACAGACATGCCCTCGGCTAAACAAATTATACACTCGATCTGCATGGCCTTATGACGCCCTTTAAATCATCTAAAGCAACGTCTCATCATTTGATGGTTCAAAATGCCTAAGAGGTGGCTATGGTAATATACAATATCGGTAAATTCAAAATATACCATTCATTGCGCCTTTGTCTCATACTTAAGGGGCAATGAACAAAATAGTAATTGAAGGATATATTTTCCTACTTTTCCAAGACTCGTCGATTAAGAAAAAGCTTCAAGGCAGTTTGAGGCTAGGGAAAAACTGAACAAAGTGTGAGTTTAAGTCAAAAGTAGGGAGTAGTCAAAATAAAATATAACAAAAACAGTAAACACGATTAACAGATTATATTTTCTATGTTATATATGAATAGTAGTTTTATTTTCACGTAGTTAACTCACAGATTAATCCATATTTTTTATAAAGACGTTAAAATTCAACAAAACAAAGCCATTTCGACGAGTAATGATAGACAAATCTCAGTGTTTTGTTTTCAGAGAACCATCTTTGAATTTTATGGTGTTTGTAAGCGTAACAATATTGTAGCAGAATGCAAATGCTCCAAAAGACATCAGGGTCAGCGGCGGCGCTCCTGTCAACGGGACCGGGGTCGCAAACTGAGGGTAATCATCATGTTGTTTGTGTAAAGACGGGACTACAAATTGCTAGCGAAGTAACATACTGTTATAATTCAGATCATAATTTTATGAGGCTGTAGTTTGTACGGATACATCTTTTACTATGTATGCTAAATATGCTAAGTTAGGCATGGTATTATAACAGGACACTTTCTTTCTATGATATTCTAGGCACTAAAAAACATCTTCCGCCCTATTGTTTCCGTCCTCTTGAACACAGATTATTTCATTTTATGGTTGATTCAGTCCTTTCTTGAATCAAACTTCTACATCAGTATTCTTTGGAGGAACACTGAATCATGAGTGGTTACTATTTTAGCCTCTCAACGCCTGTGGTTTTTGTGAGTTTATTTGTCTAAGCACACCGAGTCAACCGGGTAACGGACGATATGCCTGTTTGCCTTGCGTGAAGGTAATACATTTTATACTTAATTCGTGATTAGAGCTTGGTGTAGATGTGCAAATAAAAGAAGGTAATTCAGATGAAAGAGAGAACTTCTCTCCTGTCGGTAAAGGGTTAGGTTCGCTAAATAAATTTGCGCTTTTCATTACACCATTAACCAGGCTCACGTTACTTATACTAAAAGCTGTCAATTAAGAAAAATTACTGTAATTACAAGTTTTTGCTACAGCGGGCCGTATCGTCCAACACCCGTCCTAGCTCTGGTCTAGTTATTATCAAAGGTTAACCTGTTGTTAAAAAGCATTCAACAGTAATAACCAGATGACAAAATGTAACTAATTTCAGAACTGATCCTTCATGGATTCGAGTGCAACGCTTAGATTTTCAGTCAGTAGTTGGTTACCGAATTTTCCTCATTTCTACCACTGCCATGAATGGTTTTGGTGTTTACTCAAGTCCCAAAACAGTGTGCATCAGAACAGCTACAAAATAATACTAATGAAAATCCTTGCTACAAATCCTCCTATCGTCAGGAAGCGAGTTGGCCTAGTGGTGGAGCAAGGGCTTCATTTCCCGAAGTCCCTAGTACAAATCTGACAAATCCCCAATCGCTTAACCATATTTAATGATGCGATCCTGCGCCTGAACTCATATGTCAAATGGTTAAATGCTAAAACCTAACCTCATGAGATGAACATAAACTCCCCATTCTATCCCCAGCTTATCCCTGCCATCAGTGTGCGGGGGCGGGACTCTGACACTGTCAAGATGAGTCAACCTACAGTAGGATCATGCTGTGAACCGTGACGTTACCGTGACGGGAGTGACGTGACGCTACGACAGACGACAGACGACAGTGCGTCACACAGAGTCTGGTGCGGTACCTCCTCCGCGACTGTGCTGAGCAAGCTGTGCAATCTTCAGTGTTTAGAGATCTGTGTTGTGAGTGTAACGTGCAAAGCGTGTCGTTGTTTAGATATTATTGTAATGAGCTTTGAAAATTCAATGGGTTTAGATAAATGAAATTAAATTTACCTTGCATAACGCTAGTGTCACCTTTCGCACAGGTCCCCGCAACAAGACGTGTTCCATTTATACTGGGCTGATTAAAAAGTGGTAGGAAAAAAAGTTATTTGTGTGAAATTTTTTAAATTAAAAAAATATGCTTTGGTATTAAATTATAATATTTATTTTTTGTAGTACTAGTGCAAAGTATCTTTAAAATTAATATCTCATCTCTTACCGATGATCTCCCACTGACAACTAGCAATTAATGTTGAAAGTTAAAATGTGACGTTGTTCTTAAAAAAGGAGTAAAAAACGTAAAACTTTAATGGATTTCCACTGACTGTTGCTGAAGAATATTTTAGAAACTAATTTTGGTAAAACATCCAATAATTTAACAGTAAACGAAAAATACATCAAACGGATACCTTTGATGTCCTTGAAAATTGATTGGTTAATTGCATTACTTTAACCGACAGTACTAGTTTACCCAAACTTTAAAAGATACATCAGTTGAGTTTAAATCCATGACACTTCGATTTCACGATAAAACGAAATTCAAAATAAACCAACTCCTCTACAAATAACACAATAAAACATGCCACAATCCAACTCTCTAACTCCCTTCTACTATCAAATCCGAGTCCCTTCACCACTTTGCCTACAAACGATTTCGCTAATTGTGCCTAACGGTCAAGCGGGTTTCACGCGATAAATTACAATTAGAGAATGCTCTAGCAGGTCCAGTGTCCAGTGACACGAAACAAAGCGAGGAAGTGGGTCGAACAGGTGATAATCGATCAGCTGATAATTGATCAGCTGTTTCCCGAGCGTGCAGCATCCCAGTTTCCCGCCGGACGTACGAATCCTGCACGCTTTTCCGCGAAAGTGTCGGCGACTGTTGCAAGGCGTTTGTGTCCAGTCGGCTTCGGACGTTGAAACTCTTCTGGTGTCAAACTCCTAGACTAGAATTTTACAATCGACTTGATTACGAGTACTACGCCTAATTGTACTTAACAATCAGTTGTATTGATTCATCAAGTTAGGAAATTAGAATATTATGTTGTTCTGAAACAATTCATAAATGAGTTAAGTGCTTCAAAATAAACCAGTGAAGTGTGTGCGAGTGACATTATGTAAAGTGTGAAGCGGTTATCTGGATAGATCGGAATTCATGAAGCCATGTCTATTGACCAGGATTCGCTTGAAGAGGTAATCCTAAACTCAACTAGGAAATAAGTAATTTTTATGATGATATTGGATTTCATGATGATTATATTGTACTATTACGTTATTTTCAGATGCATAATGTATTCTAAATAAGATAGCGGCCATTCTGGATTTTAAAATTATACCTAAACATAAACTAAGAACATCGTCTTTTTCACAGTTTATTTTTGTTTACTTTTAAGTAAGATTTGTGTGTACAGTAGTATAACCACAGACAAGGGATTTTCCTTGTCTGTGGTATAACGTAACTTTATAGGGAAGGTATTTTTTTAGTTTTCCATAAATCTATCTGGGGAGATAATGGAATTCGATAGAAAATCATATTGATCGTCTTAGGTTCACAATTTTAATTTAATTTTTAAGTAAAATACTGTACAACAAACCAACGTGTGATTCAAATAAGAGATGAATCTAATTATTTTGCAAATTTGTTGTTCGTTTGTAAGGTTTGTTTACATACAATATTGGTGTATTTATTATACAATATTTTCTGGTGCCGAGTCTCAATACCAGTTTGGTCGCAAAAACCTCCGTGGCTGAGAACCTGATGCATGATGCATGTAATTTTCACGTTACCTAAAAGAATATTTATGGAAAATAAAAGGAATAGCCATTTAAACCAGTTTGTAGTAAAATCTCATAATTTTTTATAGTACTTTAGATAGTTACATTAGAACATACATTCATGGTTACAACAAGCAACATGAAATATGTTGGTTTTCTAAAACTTATTCTTAAACCTATTATTAATGAAGACATTTTACCAAAACTAAATTATGTACATAAAATTTCCGGACATAAAACTGGTTGAATTTCTGACATTTTTGCTTACGATCTAGTTTAGGGATAAAATCATCTAGTAGGGGAGTTTCATAAGGAGATTCCCTTCCATATATTAAATTAATCGGGGTCTTTTGTAGAGAATCTCCCTCTCCTAAACAAATGTAATATACTGTAAGTAAATGTTTCTATAAATGTGCTATGTAAAAGTAAACAATACGTATATCAACAATTTGGGTTCATTTGGGTAACACAACCCAAACTACAACAGGGACGCGCGTTGGCCAGTAACTGATGATCAACAAACTCCTTTATCTTGTACAACCAAACGACTACTAGTTTTTACTTTTTTATGTCGCACTCTAGCATCTTAGTTCACTAAGTTCTAATTCAAAACTTTTTATACATTACTCAAGGCTAATCCTAAAGGGTTTTAGGTTTTAGGCCCATAATTTGAATCTATAAATACAACAAACCCATTTTTGCTTAGATTTCCTTGTTTTTAAGGTTTACCTACATAGTATCGTATTCAATGTATTATTTAGTTTTTGTAGTAATAGATTAAATAGATCAAATCCCCTGGTAATTGGCGGGATTTGACCCCCGGGAACTTGGGGGCCGAAGTCCCGCGCTCTGCCACTAGACCGGCTCGCTACCCATTGTCATTTTAGATTTGACACAATTTTTGTTTTAAGTTTTGACATTGTTGTTAGCACGGGGAGAGTTTTAAGAAAGTAAGGAGATTCTCAAAATACCTGTAAATTGAAAGAAGTCGCGACTGTTATCGGGAACTGAGTCCTCAAGATGAAAAGCTACAATGACTTTATACCTACACTTTTTTAATACGTCTTTTCTGAAATGGTGACCTTACAAAGATAGGTACTTACTTAAAAAGGCAAGTATGAATGGAGATGAGTGTTAGATGAAAGGCGCGATATTGTAGTCTTGTTACTGACTAAGGCTGGTATGGCCCTTAGACAGGACTCTTAATTAATATCCCATACCAATCTAGCCCAATAGCAACTAAGGGACCACAGTTTATAGTGGAATCCGAACCACATTTTCTCATTGTAATTTATGAATTGGTCTAATTATCAGGATAGTACTACAAAAAGTCGTAGTACTCACTAGTGGGATGTTAATCCACACCAGGGAGTATTGGATCCACAGATCATGCCTAGTATCCACAATTCGTGACGACCAAGTAGCTGGATTACAGGACGACGCCACCTTCCCAGTCTACTTTACGACTACGACAATAGTTTAATTCTTTGCAAAGAAATCCGCTCATGAGGGCTCTCAGGTCATGCGTGAACTAAACTGTTAGTGATCAAGTCCTTTAATCCACCTGTACACCAGTTTCGAACGCACAAACTCTTACAAACAAAGCACAAGTGACTCTAAAGTCACGGAGGTGCGTTTGCGTTGAGCAATTAAAAGTTAATTGTTTCACTTTTCCCCCGAAGCAAACCGTGGTTCCTGTCGTGCTCCGTCGACTCACAGACTCAGACCCTTGACTGCGGATGTCCGACCCACAACACATGTCCGTTACCTCCTGTAACTCTTGTAACATCTGTATATACTTAGCTTAATACGAGACACTATTTTATATCAATGGGGTTTTGTTCATATTTTCCATTTTGATAAGTAAAACAAGTGAGGACGAGATCAGATTCGAGATCCTGAAAGAGATCTTTTTTAAGAAACCTTGATAGAAAATTTCCGCGATAGTCCTTTCAATAATTAAACTAACAATCGATAAAATTATACATCAAGAAATTGTTATTTGTGTAACTAGTGAGCGAAAACACACACTTTGCATTTTGCACTCGTGATAAACATTATACAGGGTGTTTGTGAACTCTCTCGCAAAAATTCACAGGATTATTCCTTGGGTTAATACATGAATATTTTACATTATAAACATGGGTCGCCGGAGCCTCGTTTTCCGTCTGTCTGTGTTTTTTATAAATAACCTTATTACTCGAGGTAAAAACTTTAAATTTGACACACTTGTGTATTTTAACGTGGTACACAAACATGCAAAATTTCATTTCGTTGACTATAGCCGTTTCAAAATGGCGGCCATCTAAAATCTTTGACCTCAAATTACATGAAAACCACTAGAGTTACAAATACCCCCGCCGCAGCTAACCTGCTGTCTAAGCGAATTTCCATTTGGCTGAATTGCTTTTCAATTGATCTATTTAAATAAAATTAGGTTTAACGAGTACCTAGGTTTGCTGCTACAAGGAAACTAATAAAGTGTGTGTTTTAAGTAAAATAATTATTTCTTAGTATAAAATGAATATATTTGCCAAGTTTGATCAAAAGATATCCATAAACAAGCAAACTACAACATTTTACAATATTCTCCATAAGAATAACATGGGGATTTTAAATTTACAATTTTTTTAGTTTTCTCCGTAACTAATAACCGTAAAAAACACTTTGATATACTGAATTGTTTGTTTTTTTAAGCTCTTTAAGAAGGTTTAGAGAAAAATTGGGAAATTTTGTGTTTTGAGGGTCAAAAGTGAGAAAAACCAATTTTTACCCCATAAAACCCCCCATAAAACCCTGTTCCCATGGTCCAATCATGCTGGATCGCGAACTCATTCAAGTTTATCCCGCCTTACACCTTCAAACCAAATTTCATCAAAATCGGATAAAAATTACTCAAGTTATCGTGTTCACGGACACATATATATATATATAAATCTATATATATATATATATATATATATATATATACATATATACAAATTTGAACGAATGGTGTTTTTGGCCTCTGGGGACATCGAAATGAAAAAGTAAATCGGTCCCGGGCCTAAGTCTTACCATGAGACCTACGGTAATAGCTACTTCCCTATAGGGAAATTCGCTAAAAAACACAAGGATAACAAAATTGACGCACATTGCTGACCTTGTGCAACATTTCCCCCTCATTCACAACTGAATACTATGCTAACAACAGTAGTTGGTTTGGTTGCACGTGGTTGCACAAATAAATATTTAAACTGCATTATCAGGAACCGGTGTCCCACCTGGCAAGTGGTCGTTGATGAAGACATTGTCATGTCACGCTTCTGCCTGTCCAATGATCTGATTGGAAGAGGAAAGTATTAGACTGGAAATGAGAAGGAGGGACAATGATCTTGTTTTGAAAAAACAATAAAATTGTAATAAACCCTAGTTGATCAAACTGGTTAGTCATTCTCTATGTACATTTTTCCATCCTTCTAGAATTTACTGTACTCGAAAACAAAATTTAGATACATATCCTTTTAAAAATTAAACCCCTAACATGCATCACTGGCTATAGTCTTATTGGAAAGGGAAACACAGTTTAATATGTGATCTCATTTTAAATTACACTGGGTCAACATACCAGTAGAATATTTTTGTATAGCCTATCATCCAGAATGTATAGATAATATGTATTGATAATAGCATTAACAGTATCATGACCCAAACCATAATTGTTGGCTGACATCACAAGTAAAGAAGAAAGCGCTTACTGTGATATATCCAGAGAGCACAGAATAGAAACTGTGCTCTCTGTGTTTCTAGTTTCTATTCTGTGCTCTCTGGGTATATCATCTAGAATAAGCTAGAAACTGATGGTCGTCATAAACATATTCAAGCGTTAAGGGACAGCAGGAACAGACACACACAAAAGATTATTCGGATTACTATAAGAAGCATACTTAAAGTATAATAAGTTATAAGTTATACTTAAGTATAATGGTTCTACTTTCTCGTTTACATTAATAAATTTTGTGTGTCAAATTCTTATTAGATTGATAAGTATTTACTATTTACACCGGTAAAGTATATCTCTCTGGATATGACTGGGACGGGTGGCAACGTCCTGTAATCCAGCTACTAGGAGGTCACGAATTGTGGATATTTATAGGCATGCACTGGGGATACGATACTCCCTGGTGTGGATTAGCGGCCGCACTAGTGAGTACTACTACTATGTGCAGTATTACCTATCTTGATAATTAGACCAATTCGTTAATAACGAGGCAAAAATGTGGTTCGGATTCCACTATAAACTGTAGGTCTCTTATTTGTGATTAGCTGTATGTGCTATTAATTAACATCTGTGTCTAAGGAATATGTCGGCCTTAGTCACTAACAAGACTACAAGATCGCACCACTCATCCTGCACTCCATTCATACTTGGCTTAAAATACCTACTTTGTATGGTCCATATTTCATTCAAAAGTATTAGAGTATTAAGTGTATGACTTTTAAAAAAAGAAGACGGTCTTAATCAGGAAATGCATTAATATTGAGACAAGATTACACGGCTCCTCTTAGGCATGTAACACTACGTACTGGACTGCATCTGTAACTGTAACTGTTCACTGTTCAGTTTGATACACGCCATATCCATAAGACGTTGAAGGATTTGGACCACGTTATCTTAAAAGCATATGATTTTCTCAATTTTTACTTTCTCCCCCTATACCATAGTATATGGAGAAAGTATTGTTTTCGTCAAAATTTTTGAGTTTGAGTTTTGAGTGGATATATTCGTTTTGGGTCCCCCTGGACCCAAAAAAGTGGTTTTCGAAGTGATGTCTGTGTGTGTGTGTGTGTGTGTGTCTGTGTGTCTGGATGTGTACAGAGCTAGAGACCACACATGTGGTCCGATTTCGATGAAATTTGGTATGTAGGTTCTAATCCATGGTATCTCCAGGCGTTTTTTTCATTTTTTTGAAATTTTTATTTTTAATGGGGATTTTTCCATAAAAACCCATAAAAAACGGGAAAAATCGGATTTTCTCGAAAATGCCCCGAACGATTTTGATAAAAATTTAGTATGTTGTAGCCCTTTAAATTCTGAATAAAATGGTACTAATCCCATATCTGTAAAAATTACCGTTCAAAAGTTATGGTCAAATATGTTATTTTCCCATAAAAACCCCATAAAATAACAAAAAATAGGATTTTAGAAAAAAATCCGGTTTTGATTTAACATAGTATGTTATAGTCCTTACAGTTTTGATAGTTTTTTAAAATTTTTTAGAAATTTTTATTTTTAATGGGGATTTTCCCATAAAACCCCATAAAATAACGAAAAAATATGATTTTCCCAAAAATGGCCCGAACGATTTTGATAAAGATTTAGTATGTTATAGTCCTTTATATTCTGAACAAAAAGGTACAAATCCCATTTCTGTAAAAATTACGGTTCAAAAGTTATTGTAAATTATGTCATTTTACCATAAAACCCCCATAAAATAACAGAAAAATCGGATTTTCCCAAAAATGGCCTGAACAATTTTGATAAAAATTTAGCATGTTATAATCCTTTAAATTCTGAACAAAATTGTACAAATCCCATTTGCGTATAGGCCTACAGTTATTTACTCTCACCACTTACACATGATAAAGGTTTTTGACAAACTTATGGGAGAAAGTATGTGTCAGAATGCTGATACCGTTTAAATAACACTTGTGTTAAAACTACAAGCTCCGTGATGTGTTACAGGCTAGTGAGGCCGAAGCTGCGGAGGAGCGACTGGACCTGAGCGGCACAGGACTGGAGCGTATCCCAGAGGCTCTGGTCACCTCCTGGCCGGACCTTCGGGAACTCGTCATCTCCAGGAACCGCGTGCTGGACAACCTCCATCTCCTGGAGAGGCTTCCGGGACTGCGCAGGTGAGAACTTAACAGTAAACTTTGGAATGTTGATTATAACACTCTTCAAACCGAAAGAAGTCTTTGATAGTGGTCCTTTGAAGAGAGTGCTAAAAATATATCTTAATTGGCGGAGACTAATTTATTTCAAGCAATTAATGGGATGATAGTTGTTGAATTGGTATATACCTTGCTGTATAACAAGTTGTTTTACGAAAAATTGGTGGGTGTTTATCTAAGATAACAAACAATTAAAGGCCCAATTGCTTAGTCAGATCCAACTTTACCCACTCTTAAATTACGAAACTACTTATTACGATCGGCATCTATATTTACTATAGACCATAGTAACAACGTAACTTCTCACCTTTAATGTAATAGGTAATATGCTGGCAAAAATTAATAGATGAAACATTTCCTGTGAATTTTGTTATAATAACTAACGCTGTTGTTACTCAAAAGTCAATACCGTATAGAAATTTTTTTACACAACATATTATTGTTCTGAAATTGTATTAGGCAATGAAGAGTCGTGGAAATACATCTGTAAACAATAATCTGATTGTGATTATTTTCATTTGCAAGGTTGGTGGTAAGCGCAAACCAATGGACCGCTCTACCGGCCGCCGTCTCCCGTCTGAGGAACCTGAGACAGCTGGATATTTCTGACAACCGTCTAGCAGTTCTGTCAGAGGATCTCGCCAACCTTACCAAGTAAGTTGTTACTTTTACAGCTGTTGTCACTGAGAGCTTTGAAAAACGTGATCTCTTTTTTCCTTACTATTACTGGAGAGTGAATAAAGTTACTTTCTTAAAATCGCCAGGATGAACATGAGATTTCTCCCTTTTACCAGGACGTTTCGGATATAGCAACATCAAAATTTTGCCAGTGAGTATTTTTAAAATTTGGATTTGGATCTTTTTTGTAAGACGGTTAAGGGACGAATTTGGGAGGGGAGGGCGTTTACGCTATTTTGATTGCAAAATACAGTACCAAACTACTCAGATCAACTGGAACTGCGCATTTCCCTTCCATCCAGTGTGAAATCCTATTTACTACTAGATGAGTGAGACAATTGACGTGCCATTCTTGGGGTCTAAGATCAGATGATTGTTTAGCCAGTACCATAAATTTAAAGCCTTTATTGCCAAACACATTAACCTATGATCACCTGATAAGCTAATAAGGGTCACCTGAGTCTGGATCTTAATCGTCAAATAGCTACAAAGTTTCATCCAGGATTTAGTCAGCTATGAGTCAGTTAGTTAATCAGTTGATGTTGAGCTGAACACCCAAACACGAACTGAGATAAAACAATAGTGACGGAGAAGACGTGTTTAGATGTTTGCCAACTTGACCTAGAATCCTGGAAAGACTGAAAAATTCTATGTTGACATAATTAAAAATTCACTTCTGCCTCAAACCATGATGCCCCCACAGCACCATAATCCATTCATATACTACAGCGTTGAACGGGAAGCAGTCTACTCTCATTATTCCCAAATCTCAATAAACATCGGTAAATCATCGCTTGAACGTTCAGAGATCCATCTTATGCAAAGCACTTTCGTTACCGCGCATCCTCCCATATCTCTCCTGCAATCGCTTCCGTTGTTTCGCTGTTTCCTGAGCCTGCTGACCGCTGAAGCGCGTCCAGCCTTCAGCACTTCCAGTGGCCTCCGCGTGCTGCTGCAGGAACATGCCTTTCGCCATGGACTCTAGTGATGGACGCCTTCGAGCAGGACTTTGAGTGAGTTTTGTAGGCCGATTTAGATTTCAAATTTGAAGATGGGTTAATTGTTGGTTATCTGTATCAAACATTGCTTACATTCAAACGGTCTTTGATGAATCACAATAGCCATTGTTTTTGTGTGTACTATTATGATTTCAATTAGTTTTTTGGTCCAAAGGGTTTTCTTGTAATTAAAGTGGCTGTTTTAGCAAGTTATTTGTATATTTATGAAAACACGTTCTGTATTGTTTCAAAGACGTAGTAACTGCTTATATATGCCGTTTTGTTTTTTATACATATTTGTTGCTATGTATTCCAATAGATAAAATATACTCCTTTAGTGGATTTCTCATCCATATAGAACACCTGAAGCCAATTTGTTAGTTCCGTCCGGTGCACTGTAAAGGTCGTGTTTTGTTTACAATTGGTTTCTTGTTATTTCAGTCATTTAAAACCTCGTTTAACCAAATAAAACGAACTAATCATAAAAAATTACCCGTCTTCTAGTTATATAGCCAAACAGTAAATCACAAATCATAAAATTAACCCTAATAGTCGATTAAATATAGGCACTTGAGATATAACGAATTCCAACAAATGGTTTTTCAACTGTTTTTGGTAGTAATAGGTGTAGAAAGTACTAGGGAAAAAGTCTACCAAAATCGGACAACCGGAAGTCGGGTTTTTCCAAGATGGCCGGCGTGAGGCCCTCAAATCGACAAGATGACTGCAAATTCGTCGATTCATAGTTCAGGATTGGCCGATTTCCACGAAAATTGGCAAACACATGTAGAACTATATTTCCAACCTTAAATATGAAAACCAGGCAGACAAAGTAACCCAAAGATGAATTTTCAGGGTGTTATGTGCTAAAAATAAGGGTTTTTTACTCAAATATAAGTTTTTCTAATATTTTGTACAAGTTTGTTATAATTTCAAATTTATTTTTTCACCATTAGATTCAACACAAAAAACCTAACAATTTAGTATATTGAATCTTTGTTCTGCTTCAATTTGTTACAGAGGTATTGAAAGTAATAACTTTAGTATGTTTTCTTGCCGAGATAACTCAATGTTAATCTTATGGCGAATAAGCATAAATATTAATATTATTTTTCATAAAACCTATATAGATAAGACTTTTTGTTCTGCTTCATATTATCTGTTTTAATATTTTTTTACCAAAAATTCCTTTTTTGGCAGTTACTATTGCAGCAAACCTACGTATTCGGTTCCTCAGTTTTAATCATAAAGAGAATAAGCAAAAATCAATTTCTTATTAGTCCGAGAAATATAGAATATTACCTAAAAAAATTGCAAGAAAACGTTTTATGTTTTTATGTTGTAGTGCTGGGTATGCAGAGTAACATAGTAAAAATTGCCAAAAATCGGTCTACGGGAAAACCCCTAGAATCAAGATTTAATAAGACGGATTTTCTCAACATTGGAAAAATAAAAAAAATTCCACATGCATTTTCATTGATATTGACTTCAGACCACCACCGATATTTATTGGGTTTTATTAGGTTTTTTGTGTTGAATCTAATGGTGAAAAAATAAATTTGAAATTATAACAAACTTGTACAAAATATTAGAAAAACTTATATTTGAGTAAAAAACCCTTATTTTTAGCACATAACACCCTGAAAATTCATCTTTGGGTTACTTTGTCTGCCTGGTTTTCATAATTAAGGTTGGAAATATAGTTCTACATGTGTTTGCCAATTTTCGTGGAAATCGGCCAATCCTGAACTATGAATTGAGGAATTTGCAGTCATCTTGTCGATTTGAGGGCCTCACGGCGGCCATCTTGGAAAAACCCGACTTTCGGTTGTCCGATTTTGGTAGACTTTTTTCCTGGTACTTTCTACACCTATTACTACCAAAAACCGTCAAAAAACCATTAGTTGGAATTTGTTCTATCTTGGAGGCTTTTTTGGGCTAAATCTACTCGTCTATAAAGCAATAGAAACAAAATTTCGTCTAACACCGCGATCAGTGTCACCGGACATGAACTTGACATGAAAAAAGAGCTTCAACATTTACAATACGTCTCTCTCCATTTTGAAGAGCTTTGATCATAAACGAGAATTAACACAAGCCTTCTAACAAAAGATTGTCCAAATCCTGTGAAAGGAACATTACAACCATGGTCCTATTAACCGTGTCATTAATCAACCAAATATGTCCTTCTTGTCTCTTATTTGTAATAGGTCTTACAAATCAGTCTTTAATGTTTGTCCTGTTTTATTTTACGGTCATCTTGCCTTGGATAAAGACCATTGAAATTGGAATTTTCTATGAAATTTCTCACCTTTGATGAACATTTTGATGACTTTGATGATGGAATATCATTTCAGGAAAGTCCCGCATTTGACAATTATCTTAAATATTTCTATTTACTTTACAAACTAAATATTTACATTTATAAACAACGTTCAAATCCTTGATGATAAACTTACGTTTGGTAAGAGGTGGTAGAGGTGGTCTATATTTAACAACCATCTTGAACTTTTTTTAATACCCCAGCCTAAAATTCCACCACTTTTAAAACCAACTTAAAATGATGATTAATTACCAGGTCAGAAGAGCTCTCTGGCGAATATTTGACAATTTATGAACTTATAGGTTGAAAGAACTTGGTTGGTCTATAGTTGACAACCTTACTACTTTTGATGACGAATTTCCCAGCTGAATAAAGGGTTTGCACTAAGACATCCAACTTGATTTTCTTGTCAATGTTTCAGGCTAGAAGAGCTCCGGGTAGACCGCAATGTGTTGGTCAGTCTGCCTGGGCGAGAGGGGTCCTTCCCGAAACTCAAACATCTGTCAGCGTCCCACAACCAACTCGGTGTCCTGCCGGCCTTCCTCTGTAGGAGCAAGGACATGAGAGCCCTCCATATACTGGTAATGTCCTTCTTTAGTTACCTCTGTAGATACCAAGTAGTAATGTGTACTAGTAGAAGATAGTAATGTAGATCGAAAATCCTAGAATGTTAGTGAACTGTGTCTTGCATTAATCTATATGTCTACAACCTTCCAAACAACTATTGCAGAACACTTAGCTATATGACCAAAACATCATAGTGTGTAGTTTAAAGTGAAGTTGGACGAAGTATGAGGTGTAGGGCGAATTGAGTGAATCTTTTACTGCCGAAAAACAGCTTTGCGCTCAGACCAACTTATCACTAGTCATTAGCACCTACCAATAGCAATTTTTTTAGAACCTCTAATCATTATATGCTGAAAAAATATCACTTTATCATGGTTATGTTTCAATAAACGCGAGTGCCTGTAAAGCACTTATTTAACCAATTGGGAGTCTAGTATTCTAAGTAGGAGTAACATTGACTTTAGATACATTACGGTAGTGTATTAGAAAGCATGTATAAGATAGCACGGTAGTCTACCATTTAATAAAAAGTGTTATAACTCATAAGTACGTTATTTTACAAAATCCTGATGCCCTAACATTTCCTTCATTACTTTTTTTTTGCAGGAGACGAATGAAGGAAGGAAGGACTCAGACTCTGGGCTAGGTGGAGAAGAGTTGAGAACAGTCAATCTTAGAGCGAACTGCCTCAAAGGGAATATCATCCTCGGCAACTACGGGGTAATGATTCATTCTGTAAATCAATAGTGTGTTAATGTCTTAAAATATGTTTGCAAAATACGATTAGATTGTGTGATCTACTTTTAACAATGGAAAGAGCCTTAACATTATCTTAGACAACTTCGTTAACAAAAAATTCAGTAAATTTTAGTAACGTTATTAACACTGTTCTTTTGAAAGCAAATGGAAGCAGCTTAAAATACCATACGCATAATAAATATTCACGCTTGCGTAATTTAACGTAATACAAACCGATACATTTCTGTTACTAATATGGTTGTTAATATATAAAAGAGATATTAAAAATAGTTGTGTGTTTACCACAAATGATTTCGTGTGGGTATTTACCATATGAAAACATTTTTTTCTTATAATGACAAAGTAATTATACATTTTTTATCGTAACCAAAATTAATGTCAAAATGAGTTTGATATGCACATGATCATTCCCGCATTATTCCTTACCCCATTTTCGTCCACGTCTTTGACTAAGAAACCAAGAAACCAATTTCATTTGAATAGGTATCCTGTTTGCTGAAAGGTTCTCTTTAAATTTCGGTTTGCTGCTTAGTAATTCATTGTATTTTCATTCATGGATTACTATAATGAAAAATAAATAATAATAAATAATAATGACATTGTAGTATACAACACACATAATAACCACTTATTGTGACTGATTCATTTGAGTAACAACGTACTTTAAATTTAATTTTAATTATATGATTGATGCTTATTTCTATTTCAATCTACTTTCACTTTTAACCAATGTTGTATTACAACACAGAAAGTACTTGTATGTAAAACGGCTGCATAATTAGTAAACTAGCGAAAGCAATTCTCATGATTTATTATTTAATCCTTTCTAACCCCACGTGTGTGAACGTAATTATGAGAGCCACTCCAAGGTTTGATTAAGTTCTAAACCATTTGTGTGAAAACTATTGGAAATTTTAATATGAATAGAATATTTCTGAATAAAATATCAGCTTTCATTCTTTTCTGAACAAAAATTGCCTGATGGACAACTGGTTAAATGATCCAAACCCAAACATCTCCAATTATAAACCATCTTAGTAGTAGTAGTTTTACGGGCCATTAAAAATCTATAAACTTTTCCCTTAGATGATACATTCTTTCAACTTATCATCACATTTATATTATAGTAAATTAACATTTTTGTCTTTGAAAGTGACGAGGAATTCAATAGCGGTACAGCATGCGTGCGGATTTATATAAAAAAAGGTTTCGTGATCATGTTTTTATCATAAGGGTATCGGTACATTCCTTCCGATTCCGATTTTAAGTATCGATACTTTAATCATTTGCTGTAATCATACTACTGAATAAAAACGGATCAATGATAGAAAATAATACCAAAGTGTGGATGGTTACTTAAAACAATTTAGAAATACTGTACGGCAAGCGTTAAAAAATGATTACTAACAAACTACGGACTGCCATAAAAAGTTAGGTATGCTATTACTTTATTTTCAAATATTTTATACAATAATTTAAGTACCTAAACCAATTAATCAAATCAAGTTCAATTACACGTTTTTTTTATAATTTTAAACGTACAATTGACTACTGCGGTTTATATTATAGTCAATTACATTCTGAGGGGATAGAGTTAACCAAGTAAAATAAATATTCAAATCATTAGTCAGTGAATTTCACGAAAAATAGCCCCGTCAAGAGGTATTTCCAAAGCAAAAGTTTGTAATAAAAAAAAACTACATATTAAATTATGAAACTAGGCCTATATGTAACAAAGCACTCACTGTAGATAAGTAGATGAATTCCATTTTAGACTAGAAAAGGCACAGATTAAGGGAAACAATTTTAATGTGTAGATAATTGCAGTTAAACGAGCCAAAGAGTGAGGAGGAAACAATTGTCTTTTCAATACTGCAATTACATAACAAGTTGAGAGTTCCCGATACAAATAGTAACCAGTCTCCGATGGGACGATCGCGATTGGATATTTCAGTTGCATTACCGAATCTGAGCTAAAGAGGAACAGAAGAAGATAACTGAACGGAAGTACGCTGGGTTACGAAGGACGTTGCTCCGGCTCTTACACAATTATCATTTCCTGAAGGTTTCTCCTTTGTTTTTGCCGCGAGATTCATCAGGAATCAAATGGCTCTCATAGGCACAATGAAGCACGGTCGGGAAAGTCTGGGAGAAATGTCCCAGGCTAAGCTGCAGTCTAAGTCGTGTAGCGGTTGAGAATAGTGCGTGAGGGTTGTGTAGGTGATGCCTCCGAAACTAGTTTACTTTATAGGCGATCTACAGTTGCAAAGGGTTGTAAAGAGTGTAGTTGCCTGTAACTAGTTTCTACCGTGCTAAGGGCGATTTATTCAAGTGAAAAGTGTTAAGTGACGTGTGGCTTAGTCACAGGCGAAAATGTGATTGTGAATTGATCTTGTGGATTAGTAAAAAATATTAGGATGATTACTGTGTTCTTCGACTGCAGCAGACGGTGACATGTAATTAAAAAATCCAAAATATTTTTAACCGTTGTGAACAATTAAATTTAATATACAATCTATAAAAAAGTAGGGAACTTTTAGTGGTTTCAGTGATTAAAATTAATTTGCGAATCGTAAATGTACATGACTGTTTAATAGTCAACACAGACAGCATCTAGTTTCTTTAAGTGTTTATTTGAGAATTCGGTCTTTCCCAAAGATTTTTCAGTTCCATTTTTACATCAAACCCGAGACAAAATTGAATAATATCATGCAATGAAATAATAACTTACGGCATGGATTTAAACATTTGAGATTTATACTTCACGAAAACGAACAGGAGCGGCATAGTAGTAGGGATAAAATGAGAGAATAGGGACAGGATGGTCTACAACTACAACGCACGTACAGAGACAGCGCGCATACGCGTCAGCGAGTACCGCGCATGCGTGCAACGTCACAAGGAGGCACTGCCCGCCCCTTCACCTCTCCCCCGCCCACAGTTTCGCCCCCAGACCCGTCCTCTAAGGGTGCCTCAAGGGGCAGCAAATAGACTTACTCTGGCTGGTTCTGTGTATGAGGTGGGTCATCATTATTTGTGATGAAATTAGGAAGTTGAGGTTAAAAGGGTTAGTTTAGTCCCTTTTAGTAGGCTATAAAAGTAGTATTTTTAGTATAATGTTAAAAGCTTGTGGTATCTGTGAGAAAAATGTTCAAAACAGTTTTTTGTACAGATCAGTCCTGTAAACTTGGCCCTTGTTGAAACTGCTGTCCGGATTTATAAGTCAGTGGGAGTGTTTGGCCATTTCAAATCAGATGATGACAGGGAGAAAGCATCGGTTATGTGAATGTAGATTACCTACAATAGTTTTTGGAGAAAACCTCCAAAAAGTAGGGGTGGCCACTCACCATGTTCCTCCTTTCACTCAGCGTAGACTACTCTTAAGAGCATACATTTCCCTATACACTGAGAAACTAAAATCAATTATTCAAACACCTCTTTCTGTGTAGAACTTAACTCAGCTGGACGTGAGTGAGAACAGCATCGAGTCTCTGGACCTGAGCGCGCTGGACAAACTGGAGAATGTTCAATGTTCCAAGAACCAACTACTTGAACTGTCCCTGAATGGAACAGCACTGGTGTCACTTATAGCTGGCAACAACAGTGAGTCATTTGCAATTTTTGATTATTAAAATATTGACCCAGCTGTGCTTGGGTATGTGGGTTAGTAAATGGCCCTTTCTTGATGAAACAAACAGCTGGTCTTAGTAAATCTCAAATCATATGGCCTCGTCTAATACAAAGCCACTGGGAAACAATAGTGACAACGCCACGGTGATTTATTGGCAATAATTATGGCGTTTGCAGGCTTACCTGACGACAACGTCACCTATGAAAATTGTTGAGCTAAACCAATATGATGACTTTAAAACCCAAAGACACTAAGGTCTTAGGGGTGTTTGTACTTAACACTGATATCCTCTGATTTTTTCTTACTTTATAGTGTTGGTACGTTGGTATTTTTTGTGTCAATTACTTTTTGAAAAAAAATCAACTTCTGCTATTGATAGCCAAGGGACTTTGAAGGAGATAATCTGGAATTCCTAAAACACATATGCCACGGTTCAATCCCAGATCACCAAAAAGCATTGAGAAAAAGCTAATTCATTTGTTTTGGGGTTATCTCTTTTTAGGAACATAATTAAATTGGGAAAATCAAAATAGATTGAAGAACTGTTTCAGTTTTTGTATGATCTCCTCACAACCAAAAGGCTATCAACATTCAAAATAGGTTCATATTGATACTAACCATAGACAATAGAGTAAATATTTGTCTATGCTATAACATAGGCCTACTTTAAATTATGACTAACTAATTAATAACTAAATACCCCCGCCGCAGCAAACCTGCCGTCTAAGCGAATTTCCATTTGGCCGAATTGATTTTCAATTGATCTATTTAAATAACATTAGGTTTAACGAGTACCTAGGTTTGCTGCTACAAGGAAACTAATAAAGTAGTGTGTTTTTAGTAAAATATTGATAGCTTACTATAAAATAAATAAATTTGCCAAGTTTGATCTAAATATATCCATAAACAAGCAAACTACAACATTTTACAATATTCTCCATAAGAATAACATGGGAATTTTAAATTTACAATTTTTTTAGTTTTCTCCGTAACCAATAATTGTACAAAAACACTTTGATATACTGAATTGTTTGTTTTTTTAAGCTCTTTAAGAAGGTTTAGAGAAAAATTGGGAAATTTTGTGTTTTGAGGGTAAAAAGTGAGAAAAACCAATTTTTACCCCATAAAACCCCCCATAAAACCCTGTTCCCATGGTCCGATCATGCTGGATCGCGAACTCATTCAAGTTTATCCCGTCAACCAAATTTCATCAAAATCGGATAAAAATTACTCAAGTTATCGTGTTCACGGACACATATATATATATAAATATATATATATATATATACATATATAAAAATTTGAACGAATGGCGTTTTTGGCCTCTGGGGACATTAAAATGAAAAAGTAAATCGGTCCCGGGCCTAAGTCTTACCATGAGACCTACGGTAATAGCTACTTCCCTATAGGGAAATTCGCTAAAAAACACACATTATAAATAACACATTTTTATTTTCAGAACTTCAGAGGCTTTCTGTCACGCCCCGTCCTTCCAAACTGAAACATCTTGACATCTCTTAGTAAGTACCGGTATTATAGGCCTAATTAATTTTAGCTCAAGTTTTGTACAATAGTAGACTTAGTTAAAGAACAAATTGATGGAAATTGATATACTTGTAAAATACATTGAATAAAACACTCGCTGAATCTATAGAAACAAAACAGCTTGAATTGATTGTACCGAAAATGCTTATTGGTCGATTTTACACTTTAGAAATGTATTAATTATTTTAGGACACCTCATCACTCTGTGTGACATTCCGGATATTTGGAAAGTATAGATACAGTTTAACTGTTAAAAACTTTGTGTCTTTACTGAGTTTTCAAAGACAATCAGACATTCTTAAGTTGAAAGCGATGCAAAATTTATCTTTTGATTTGAGACATTTTTTAATACATAAAAGTTAATTAGAATCTTGGAACATTTTGTTGCAGCAATGACCTTTCAACGTTGCCAGAGTGGATAGCTGGCTGCCACCACCTGAGGTCACTGTTTGCCAGCCACAATCAGCTGACGTCACTGCCAGATCACCTGTTCTGCAGTGAGCTCAGCTGTTTACAGACACTCCAGCTGAGTTTCAACAAGCTAATCTCCTTACCAGCTGTCATCCGCCATATACCTCTGCAGCAACTGTTTCTGCAGAGCAATTGCATTTCTAGTCTTCCTGAACACTTCTTCGTTGCTTCATCCCGGTTTGTATTCCAATGATTTATTCATTAATTATGGATAGTTGTTCATTTTCAGATCTTCAATTTAGTGGTGCAACTTATGAAAAATATAGAGACCCACAAACCCATGGAAAAACCCTAATAGTGGTGTGCCTTACTCTTCAAAGGGCACAACCCTTCATGTCACTTAGTTGTCCTTTCAAGCCCTTTGGAATTTCTGCTGTAATATATTCACTTTGGTTAATAAAGTATTTCTTAAATTTTTTATTTTGCCTATCTACACCAGTGGCATTTATTAAGGTTCTTTGTATGTAAGGTATATGGTCCAAACCCTGGTCCTGTAATTTTTTAGGAAGCATCATATTAAAAGCCCCATAATTAATAGCATCTGGGTCTACAACTACAACGATCTCACTTGAAATGGAATCAGCGACCTTCAGATTTGAAGGCGAGCAGACAAGCACTTTAACCACTCGGCTACCCAGACAATCGTTTTGTATAGTTTATCAACAGTCTTCGTCTTCATTATAGTCTTTGTGTCAATGTGTGTGCTTTTAGTTCCATTTTGATCATCTACTAGGCCCATTACTTAGTAGAAGCTTTAGTGCCCCACACTTTGAAGCTAAGTATAGCATTAATTGATTTATCTTTTCATTGCATTTGTGCTTCTGCATAAAAAGTTAGAGAATTTTTGTGTGCAATCCGATTTTGCATTGATGCACACTTTTACAGAGTATCTTAGTTGTCCTTAAAACTTACTCTAGGAAACTATATATGTATTTTTTGCTGGTAAAATGTCTTGAAGTAGGAGATAGTGTTTTCAGGACCATAAGCTAAATCATAACCACAAGCTATGTTCTAATTCCAAACTGGTTAGTTAATAGTTTCCCCACTGTATTAAAAGCTTAAGCCACATAAGACTTTAAGCCAACCATAAAGTAAAAGTTCCTTTAACTGTTTCTGCAGGATGAGGGTCCTCAACATTTCCAACAACTGCCTCCAGTCATTACCAACCTCAGTGGCTGATAACCATCAGCTGGAGACACTGCTCATTACTGCCAACCTGATAACTGATCTCAGCCCTCTCGTCAGGTTTGCCAACCTCCGCACTCTACATGCAGCTTACAACACTATTCATATGTTGCCTGACAGGTAAGAAAAAACATCTGACTGTGGGTTTAGTAAGATTTTGTCTTTAAGATTTTGGTCTTTGTGCACAAAATAAAATTGATGAGTCTGAAACTAGATAATTGGTAGCTTAAAATTTGTTTTCTTTAAAAGATGAGTTGTTAACTTTTTACCCTTCTTGCTTCTCCCGTATTCTCTAACATCTTTTCCTCATCAAAATGTTCACAAAGGCACAGTGGAGAATTGCGAAATGGGATGGACCATTGACTTTGAATACTAAAGTAGCGCATCCATAAACCAGGCGGTGTAGTTAGTTTTTTAACTGAAAGAAAATGTAGTGAAAAAGAGCCTCAAATAGATTGTGCTTTTACCAATCTGCTTTTTCCTTGTAGTATGCCTTAATATAAGTTGATGAAGACATAAAAAATGCCATGGCATACAATGGGCCAGTTTGGCAAGGTTACACTGGTTATGCTGTGTAAAAATAATGGTATACAGCATCAAACTCAGTCGGTGACAACTGAATTCAGTCATTTTATAAGCTAAAAGTTACTGTTTCTCATTACCATTAAACTGATAAATCACTTTAGAGTCCTATTGTATTTTAACAAACAATTTTTACCAACAAGTCAACCTCAGCTGTTAGTAATAAGGAAAATCAATCCACACGTTTACAATAATAATTGTATTTCTTTTGCAGCTGTACATCTGCATGGCCTGAACTGGAAGAAATTGTGTTGTCAGGAAACCAGATCACTCAGTTACCAGAGAATATCACTCAGTTGCGACATCTGAGGGTGCTCAGGATACATTCAAACCTGCTCAGGACTTGTCCTAGTGTGGGCAGTATAGCAGCTCTCAGGGTTAGTACATCATATAACTCTCTGTGTAGTGGCAGCAACTGCAGTAGGTGATGGCATGCAGCTCCTCCGTGAGATGTGGGTTTTGTTGAACTGGTTTTTTATTGATAATGGTAAGGTCAGGTGCAACCTCCAGGAATTCAAGTGGGGATAGGGGTCACTCATTAGAGTGTGGGTTAAAAACTCAGACAGTAAAACCATTGACTATTGGATACAGAGAAGTTGTTGTATTAATAGTCAAAGGTAAAACACTATTGAATAATCGCTATTTATTAGCACCAGCAAGTGAGTTACCCTGGTGTGTGTTGTTAGATCAACTCCATTGAATAAAGCATCACTAAATTTGGACTAGACGCTACCACTTGTCCAAATTTAGCGATGCTTTATTTCATTTTGCTTTCAAACAAGAAGCTGATCTATGAAACTCTGACAAGGCCCTGCACCACCGCATATACTAAAAGTTCTTTAAAGATGGTACCTAGACAATATTCTCTCTAGGAAATTATCCCCCAAATATTATATCTAAGTAACAATGTTCGTATACTTGCTTGGCATAATCCCATTGATTTCTCCTGCGAAGTCTCCTGACCTGCCTTACTTGATTATTTGTTTTATCTTCTTTATTCCTTCGGAGTTGTTGTCTCTCTCTTTTAACCCATTAATCAGTGTCCTTTTCCACATGTTATTGATTATTGTTATTGTTATGCCACATGTCTATTGAATAGCTTCTAGCAGGACTCCGCCCAAATTTCGTCCTCCCAATATTGTTACAAGAGTAGGTACCTACCGACTTAAATTTGTTGATTGTAGTTTTCAACCTTACAAGTAATTGATTTTTTATAGGTTTTGGACCTGGCTCACAATCAGTTGGATAGAGTAAACCTCGCAGCCATCGTCTCACAGAGGCTTCAGTTCCTTGACATCTCTGGCAACGCAAGGCTGCATGTTGATGCCAAACAGTTCCAAGCTTACAGGTAAAACACCACCCAAAGCTGGAAATGTTAAATCCTAGATTATGGTAGTATAACTGTCCTTACTTTTTGTGCAGTAGAAATAATCGAAAATATAGCTTAAGGTGGAACTAATTGCAACACAAATGATTCTTGCTGTGAATGGTAGGTGTAGCGATTGTTCTTCAGTCATTATTATTATTAAAGTAGGCTGTGGTGAATATCTATTTAAATAAAACAAACATCTTCAATTAACTCAAAGCTGCCATCTTTATTAAACCCAAAGTGAAGAAGGAAGAGACTCACAGACGAGGCTCCCCCACTACTGATAGTTACAGTTGTACCAATACAACAAAATATAAAATACAATTAGATTAGAAATGAGTACGTATAACATTTCCCTCTTTGACAAAAGAAACATTTATCTTCTTACTTCAAAATAACTCTCATTACAAAACAACATTAACATAGTTAGTGGTTATGAAACAAATCAAATTTAATTTAAGTTTACAATAACTCTGTTGATAGTGTAACTAATAATGATTATAATTTTTTTTTTCAATTACTATTTAAGTCAAACACTTTTGTTTATTTACCTTTGCTATGGCCTATTTATTATAAATGCATGTTTTCCTGAAGCAACACAAAATAAAACCAAAGTAACACAAAAGAATCCTGAAGCGACACAAAATAAAACCAAAGCAACACAAAAGAATCCTGAAGCGACAGAAAATAAAACCAAAGCAACACAAAAGAATCCTGAAGCGACACAAAATAAAACCAAAGCAACACCAAAGAATCCTGAAGCGACACAAAAGAAAACCAAAGCAACACAAAAGAATCCTGAAGCGACACAAAAGGAAACCAAAGCGACACAAAAGAAAACCAAAGCAACACAAAAGAATCCTGTCCGCAGCGCCATGTAGCGATTGTTCTTCAGTCATTATTATTATTAAAGTAGGCTGTGGTGAATATCTATTTAAATAAAACAAACATCTTCAATTAACTCAAAGCTGCCATCTTTATTAAACCCAAAGTGAAGAAGGAAGAGACTCACAGACGAGGCTCCCCCACTACTGATAGTTACAGTTGTACCAATACAACAAAATATAAAATACAATTAGATTAGAAATGAGTACTTATAACAGTAGGTAGTATGCTTCTAATCAACATACTAAAAATATACATCCGTACTGTGGCGCAAAATACGTTTTTTGGCCGCCATCTTGAAAAAAGTATCAAAATTCGTAAAAATAACTTTTTGGGTATCAAATTACAGTATAGGAAATTTAATGCTGAAAAATGTTATAATAGTGGTTATAAGCACTGTTTAGAAATACGATCGTAGTACAAAAAACCCCCCGCCGCAGCAAACCTGCAGACTAAACAAATTTCCATTTGTCTTAATTGATTTTCAATTAAATCTAGTAATTCAGTTTTAAAAATCTTTGTACAACTATATCTAGAGTTCTACTGTACCGATTTTATAACCTAATGGGTCATTGGAAAGGAATTCGTGTAGATTTTCAAATAATTATTAAAGTTTGATTTTTTAAGATTTGCTAGGTGAAACCCGTCAACGTCGACAATTAGCTTAGGTATTATTGAGTTTGCAAGTAAGATCTTTTAACTATAAATCGATGATAGATAACTCCATTTTTTAACAAATTGGGTCGTTTATAATTTAGCAGTGTGCTTTAGGTACGTCCAATCTCAATAATCAATAATTCCAATGGAATCTGGTATTTAACTGAAGATTTTTAGATAAAAACATATAGAATAATGTAACTGCTGGAATCCATTTTTAATTGAAGTAAAAATTGAAAAAAATCCAATCTAATTGTTTTCGTAGGGATATACATTTGATAGATTAATTATGACAAATATGTGCTTGCATAGCTTTGAGACCAAAATTATGAAAATCGGTCTGGTAGAAGAGCCAAACGAACTCGAAAAAAACAAATTTAACTCCCGTAATTAATGTACAGGGAGGCAGTTTGTGCATAGCTCAAAATATACGTCAAAATGAGTGCTGATGCTTAATAGCAAATCTATGGTGTGTCTATAGCTTTAGTTTAAAGCCGAATTTACACTATGTAGCAAAACCTGCTATATAACTTTTGCTATATAACATTGCTTTATAACTTTTGCTGTATGAAAAATTTACAAACAATTTTAGTGATTCTGGTGCTCTTGCTATATATGTTATATGTAGCACAACCTCATTCGCATTCCGTATCGAAATGTGCGCTGAAGAGACATTGTTCGTGGCAGCTATCGTGGTGATCTTGGAAGTCAGAGAGAGAGACAGACAGGAGCGAAGATTTTAGCAAATTTAGGTTTGACCGCTTCTTGCTTCGAGAAATAAGTACAGTGTAGCAGATTTATTACGGGACCTTAATGATTATGAATACCCTGACAATCCATAATTAAAACGCTAAATAAGGCGACGGTAACTTCAAAAACGTTTTACGTATGATCACAACGCCGGTTGTCCACGGAACAGTTCAATTAAGTTTATAATATCAATAGCCCCAATAATATCATCCCGATCCTAGGTACTGCCACTTTCCGTTTCCAGTCCATCCATTGTAAACAAAGATCGCTGAGCAAAACCGTTCAGCGCTACATATAGCAGATGCTAGACGAAAAATATATGTGTATCATTGCTACATATGGCAATGTTAGGTGTAGCACGTATTTCTTTTGATATTTACCGACTCCCGATGGATAGCACAATTTTAGCTATATATAGCAGGATCTGCTACATATAGCAGTGTTATATAGCACTTTTGTAAAGTTACTTTTTCTACTTCTAGCAAATGTTATATAACATTGCTAGATTTTACACAAATCTGCAATGTAGCAGGTTTAGCTACATCGTGTAAACCCGGCTTAAGGTTAAGGCCAAAATTATGAAAATCGGTCTTGTAGAAGAGCTAACCCGACTCGGAAAAGAAAAAACAATTATTTTTATCGATGGCAATAATTGATTTACCAGTATGCATAATCTAACCATACAAAAAATGAGTTGATAATTTAACAGCTTATTGTTATATTGTTATTTAATTAAATTTTCTTTGATTAAATATTGTTGTTAACAATTTGCATTTGTGTTTAAAGTGTGTTTCTTATGTTAAGTGTGTGATTCTAATGTTATGAGCTTAATATGTACCAAATATTAGTGAGTAAAGTGGTGTATGGATTTCATAACCATTATTTTGCTAGAGACCGTTGCATTAATTTAACCACAATGGGCTCTGTTGCTAGTCTATTAAATAAATAACATTAGGTTTAACGAAACGAGTACCAAGGTTTGCTGCTACAAGGAAACCAATTAAGTGTGTTTTTAGTAAAATATTAATTGTTTAGTATAAAATAAATAAATCTTCAATGTTTTATCAAAATATATCCATAAACAAGGAAACTACAACTTTTTACCATATTCTCCATAAGAATAACATGGGGATTTTAAATTTCCAATTTTTTGAATTTTCCCCGTTACCAATAATCGTACAAAACCCCTTTGATATACTTAACTATTTGTTTTTTAAGCTCTTTAAAAAGGTCTAGAGAGAAATTGGGAAATTTTACGTTTTAAGGGTCAAAAATGAAGAAAAACAAATTTTAAAAGTATAAAATAACTTATAAAAAAACTTTTCAAATGCCACGTTTTTAAACGCACCTTTTTTCGCCCATAGTGCATCACCGTTAACAGTATATTTTAAATTCAACCATTATATTCTTTTCCAGCATGAAATGTTCTATAATTTGATACCAAACCAGATTTTTTAACAATAATTTAATATTTTACACTTTTTTTAAATGGCGACCAAATAACCGTATTTTGCGTAACCGTACAAATGTATATTTTTAGTATGTTTTTTAAAAGTGTATTACCTACCATTTCTAACTGGAATAATTTCTGTTGCAATTAGTTCCACCTCAAACCCTATTTCTACTGCACTATTTCGTTTCTGTGAAGTTAAAAGTTTGAAGTTAAAACGGTTCCTAGAATTATTTTTTAAGGCATTCAGACTCTTTCCTGAAGAGATACACTTGGCTTGAATTACCACTTAGGAATAAATATTAGAATTGAGAGGTTAATTCGAAATCTCATACTCTGGGAGTTTTTGAGTTGCTTATCTTTTAGCTGTGGGTGGGCATAGCTATATAATATCTTTGACTAAATTAATATGAGAGTAGGATTCTTGTTAAATTACTGGAATTGTCCAAAAAAGGTAAAAAGGATGCTTGTTTTTTTTTGTGGGCGAAATAAAGATTTTATAAGAAAATGTGTCTCCCAAATGCACTTAACCTGACATTTCCTAGCAATACCAGTACACCACTCTTTTTGTGAGTTTTTTTTTACAGTTTGGTATAACACATAAGTACAAACTTATTGAACTGTTGTTCCAGGCACCAGCGTGCTATGAGTCTGGTGGACGTGTCAGGACAGAACCGCAGTTGTATCCCATCTTCTCCTCCTCACCAAGAGGTCCCTCCTGGAGACCTGGCCTCACCATGGACTCTAGGCTTCTCTGAGACTCCAGGACAGAGAGACAGGTAATGATAAAACTCATTTTTACTTTCTCCCCCTATACCATAGTAATATGGAGAAAGTATTGTTTTTGTCAAAATTTTCGAGTTTGAGTTTTGAGTGGATATATTCGTTTTGGGTCCCCCTGGACCCAAAAAAGTGGTTTTCGAAGTGATGTCTGTGTGTGTGTGTGTGTGTGTGTGTGTGTGTGGGTGTGTGTGTGGGTGTGTGTGTGTGTGTGTGTCTGTGTGTCTGGATGTGTACAGAGCTAGAGACCACACCTGTGGTCCGATTTCGATGAAATTTTTGTATGTAATTTCTAATCCATGGTATCTCCAGGCGTTTTTTTCATTTTTTTGAAATTTTGATTTTTAATGGGGATTTTCCCATAAAAACCCATAAAAAACCGGAAAAATCGGATTTTCTCAAAAATGGCCCGAACGATTTTGATAAAAATTTAGTATGTTGTAGCCCTTTAAATTCTGAATAAAATGGTACAAATCCCATATCTGTAAAAATTATGGTTCAAAAGTTATGGTCAAATATGTTATTTTCCCATAAAAACCCCATAAAATAACGAAAATAGGATTTTAGAAAAAACCCGGTCTTGATTTAACATAGTATGTTATAGTCCTTACAGTTTTGATAGTTTTTTTTAATTTTTTGGAAATTTTTTAATTTTTATGGGGATTTTCCCATAAAACCCCATAAAATAACGGAAAAATATGATTTTCCCAAAAATGGCCTGAACGATTTTGATCACAATTTATTATGTTATAGTCCTTTATATCCTGAACAAAATGGAACAAATCCCATTTCTGTAAAAATTACGGTTCGAAAGTTATTGTAAATTATGTCATTTTCCCTTAAAACCCCCATAAAATAACAGAAAAATCGGATTTTTCCAAAAATGGCTCGAATGATTCGTTGATTTTGATAAAATGTTTCATGTTATAGTCCTTTAAATTCTGAACTAAATTGTACAAATCTCATTTGAGTATATTTATTCTTACCACTTACACATGATAAAGGTTGTTGACAAACTTATGGGAGAAAGTATGTGTCAGAATGCTGATACCGTTTATTATGTATGATAACATTGATAACAGAATACATAGCTACGACCATTATGTAAATTTGTTGGATATTATTTTCAGTATAACATAAGTAGGTAGCCAGTCTATAGATTAACGGATGAACCAAAATATTAATTATCAATCATTGAGATGGGGACGCCACCTAGGTGCGTATTTTAACCCAAATATGAATTGTTGGATGAGTGTAGAATGGTGTGTGATGATCTGTGTAGCTTTGTTACTGACTAAGATCAGCGGTCTTATTCCTACATGGGAAATTTGTTTAAACAGTTTTTCATTTAGGGATATGTTTGGATGTAGTTAGGAGTACTAAGGAGGCCAGAATAGTGAAGGGTGTAAAAGACTATCAGAATGTCAGAGCATTCATGGGTGGTGGTGGTAGGGAGGCTAAACTTCAGAAGAAAGGGGAGAGAGTAGTGGCATCATGCTATTACACTCTATTACACTCTGTTCATGTCATGTATCAGCTGTCTTGAAACTAGGCATGCAGTTTATTTTCTTCATTTAAAAAGATTTGAAAACAGATGAGGATAAACTTGATCATACGTTACAAAGTGTATCCTAGCAAGGAACTAACAGCAACATTCCAACAGGCTGTGCATATCCCAGTTAAGGTTGCCAGGGTTCTGCAACACTGAAGCGTTGCTGGGACTGTTTGATTCTGGCAACAATGCAGATCTGCCGCAGCTCTTGGTCAAGGCTGTGCCGAGGATATTGTTGGAGGAACGGACTGTCAAGGAGACTGCCTCGGACTATATGAAATACACCTTGCTGTCAGCTCACAGGCAAGTTACAAGAAAACAGTATTATGGTCTTAAGGATATTTAGAACTATTGTCATTGTCAAACCAAATATGAGTTTTTTTTTTGAGATTCTGAATAGTTTTGTGTTTCAAATAAAGTTCTCCAATGACCTCGCCTTAAGTTTGCATGTGCCTTTCACAATATCATGTCCTGTACCTTCGACCCTTCAGTTGTCTCTCTAGAGTCTTTAAGTCTCCTATTTTCTATCTTCGTGTGATTTTACTTGCCGGTTTGTGAAGGATGCGTCAACTCCATCTTGTCTGTCACAATTTGATTTGCTTCAAATAGCATTCTTTTGGTTAGTTTATGTAATGATGTCAATTATATTTATCTGTAAAAATGCAGAGTTAAAAGGTCTGACGTTGTTCAGGTGTTTATTTTTATATAATTGAATTCTTCAATAAAGTTTTAGTACAGGTTTCTTTGATGTAGTCCTATTCTTATCAAAAAGTCCATGTTTCCTTCAAGAAATTGTAGCACTTCGGCTAACATTCTCGTTCACCGTTTTTGTAGGAACCAATGTTCTCCATTATGTAGGCTAGTAACGATAACCATATCCATTTAAATAATATATTTAAATAATATCCAGGCATAGTAATTTAAATTAGAAATAAAACATTACCTAGCTCTATATCTTCTACTTGGTTGCGTTCTATGAGTTTTCCAGGAATTTTCTATGTGTCCATAATTTGCAAATAGTTTCTTTTAACGTTTGATCAAGAAGTATCAATTTTTGTTATTTTGTGAAATATATCTTTGTTGTCCAGGCTTTCCCACTTTTTTCCAGAGGCCAAAAACACCATTTGTTAAAATTTTTATATGTGTAGAGTTATGTGTCCGTAAGCGTGATAACTTGAGTAATTTTTGTCCGAATTGGATGAAATTTGATTTAAAGGTGGCGGGATAAACTTGAATGAGTTCGCGAACCAGCATGGGAACGGGATATTACGGGATGTTTTATGGGGTGAAAATTGGTTTTTCTCATTTTTAACCCTCAAAATACAAAGTTTCCCAATTTCTCTCTAAACCTTTTTAAAGAGTTAAAAAAAAACAAATGATTTAGTATATCAAAGTGTTTTTGTACGGTTATTGGTAACGGAAAAAATTCAAAAATTTGTATATTTAAAATTTCTATGTTATTCTCATGGAGAATATTGTAAAATGTTGTACTTTGCTTATTTATGGATGTATTTTGATCAAACTTGGCAAATTTATTTAATATGTTATACTAAGTTATTAATATTAAAAAAAAATCACACTTTATTAGTTTCCTTATTGCAGCAGTATACCTAAGTACTCGTTAAACCTAATGTCATTTAAATGGATTTAATAGAAAATCAATTCAGACAAATGGAAATTCGCTTAGTCGGCAGGTTTGCTGCGGCGCAGCGGGGCTATTTTTTTTATATATAGATGTTACGTCATAATTAGACCCAATTTATTACATCAATTAATGGAATTGTTTATTAAATTTTGTGATGTAATTGCCATTACAGCAAATGTACCTTTTATATTATCATATATATCACTGAACATTCCAACAGTTGTCTTGCTACATGCAATGCTATAATCTATTTTTGCTACAGAGAGCTGAAGGAGGCTGGACAGAGGTGTGGACTTTGTGCGGTCGTGTGCCATATCACCAGACAGTGGGTGGGGGGACCTCGTAGGTGAGATAATAGTGAAAAGACACTACTTGGTATTGATGTATTCCAGCAAATATCTTAAAATGCTTGGATAGTAGCCTACACAAAAAGTATTAAGAAAAAGTACACATGATAGGTATTTATTTTGGACTTGTCCAAAACAGAAAACTGATATTTGTCCTAATATAGGATTTCTTCTGAGAGTAGACAAAGAGTCTAATTTTTCAGATATAATCTTAAGTTACATCTAACTCAGTGTCTTTAAAAAATTTAAAATATATTAGGTAAGGATAGTAGTGTTATAAAAAAATTATATTTTATATATAAACCATTACTATATATTATAGTAATAGTGATAATAATGGTTGTAGGTATGTACTGAGGATAGCCAGTGTCGGAGAAGCTAAGGCCCTACTGTCCAGAACTACAGGCTCCCTGACTTTTGCACATGCCCCTCCTCAGGTATATTGTAATGTTTATAATAATAAATATTACTAGGTTAAGGTTTATATGAGTCTGCTAAATGCCTAAAAGGAAGAGTGCTACTTGAACTTATCAACATAAAATTTTAGTGTTGAAGTTAAACTTTATAAATAATAAAGAATACCACAAAATTGCTATTCATCCCGATAAAGATTTGATTTGCTTGAAATCAATGATTTAGTTCAAAAAGACATTGCATTAGATTAGATAATAGTATAACATCAACAGACTTCCAGGGGTGATTCTTTTTAAAGAAAAGACAAATGAAGAATGATTAGGTTGACACAAGGGAGGCGATAGCCTCTAACAGACTAAGATTGGTTGGTTTGTTATCCAAAATCATGTACCCAACCCAATTATCAAGAACGGCTGTGTTAACTGTATCCATTATCTCTAGTTGAAATGCATTTCTATGAGTACTAAACTGCACAGAATGTCATCAAACTTTTTTTACTCCCAACCGTAGTACCGAGTTTTTTTTTACTCTTTATTCTAATTCTATATTACTAATATGATCAAACATGAATTAATACCAAATGTGAACAATCTATTTACGATTTTATTGATGAAATAAACTAATTATGTTGTCTGACGTTGCAGCAGTCAGTAAGGAGTCAGCTAGGCAACAGTGCAATGTTTCCTATGGTTGTACCCGACCCCCACGTCACTGAGATAGTTCTCACTGAGCAGGATGAGTTTCTCATCATAGCAAACAAGAGGTGAAACTGGTTACTTTTCAAGTTGAAAGGGCTCATGCTGAGAATCAAACTAATATTATTGTGCTTAAAGTTTAGATGTTTAATTTACTTAGTTCAGGATGGATAAAGTTAAAATATTTTTAAAGATAAATTTATCCCTTAACAATTTTGGATTGTGTAGATTATTCGATTTTGGAGTACTTCTTCTCGCCTCTGAATCACTCAGTGGTGCAGTCTATTATCAGGCAAAGGTTTTGGGGTTTAAATTTCAAGGACTATCTGTCTGTTGAATTCCTATGTAATAGCTATTTACATTACAAGTGTAGTAAAAGCGTTTTTACATCACACAGGTGAATGTTGTGCAACGAGCGGAAGCGAGTTGCATAATTCACCTAAGTGAAGTAAACACGCTCTTGAATAACGCGTAATGTACAAGATTTTACCTGACCCGACAATATACATGGGATTACGTACAATATTTTTCATTATCCATTTCACTCATCTTCTAACAGTAACGTTCTTTTGCAAACAAAAGCTAGGTTAGGAAAATACTTTAAAGCATAACAATAACATATTCAAGCGCACAGCTGATTTCTAGCGTTAAACGTCGTTGGCTCCATAGAGGTATATTTTTTTTGTTAAGCACTCAATGTTATTTAAATGGGTTTCATTACCTCACCGAGTGAGTTTTTTTCAACTTTACATCACTCGAGAAGTAAGGAAGTTGTATACATCATGCTTGAGATAGGGAAGTTTAACATGGCGGGTTAGGTAAACCTTATTTTCTGCTCTACTTGACTCCAACTTCATCATATCATACTAATATTATAAATGTGAAAGATTGTCTGTTTGTTTGAAGTTCAATCACGCATTAACTACTGGTCGGATTGGGCTGAAATTTGGTATGATGATAGCTCACATCCCCGATTAACATATAGACATGCTCCCGCCACAGTGGCTCTGAATTGTCCTATGTTAACCTTATGAGTACCTATTCATATTGAAAAGGAATTAAATAATTTTGTCAGCTGTTTCAACTAAACAAGTTGATTCAATGATATTCAATATCATTAAAAAGTTATAAGGTTTACCAGTACGGTGCAGCACTATTTAATTTTTTGTTGCATTCATGACAACAGTTAATTTGAACAAAGCACGATTGAACTGTCAAAGTAGGATTGTTTACAAAAAGTTGTATTGTTAGGCATCTTTACAGTTAAGTTTATGTTTTTAATTTTTACTAGTGTCCCTGTTGCTCGAATTCGAGCAATTGCTAAGTATTACAGGCGTTGTTTTAAAACAAATTTCAACCAAGTCAGCAATTGTTTGTAGCAAACTGTTAAATTAGCAAACTTATTGACTGTTTACAATTATTAACATGCTCTTCTTCTCACTTTTGATTTCTGACAATAGCTGGAGTTTCACAACATTTTTTGTTTCCAATGTTAATCTTATGGAGAAATACAAAACTTTAAAGGGCTCCAGGGCCTCACTCTCTCATTATTTCCCTAAAAAGAAAGTTTCCTGCACAACTTCACGTTACGCCCTTTCCAATGACAACAAAAGCATGACAATCGGTTCAGTAGTTTCGGAGGAGTAATTGTCACAAAAAATCTGCTTGCGTATTAAATAACTATAGATAAAGAACCTTTTGATATTGTGCAAAAATTCATGATTTAATATTTTTTGTTTAGGTGTAAAGTGGTAGAGCATTATGGTTATGGTAGATGTGTTATACTATAGCATACCGTAAATTAAAAGAACCAATTTTCTCAAACCGTGTCCTCCACCATTGCAAACGCAAAGTACAAGTATAACTGAAATAAGCATTTTATACTCATACGCCAACACCGTACGAAGGGCGGGTATTCTGCTAGTCTCTAATATATTTTAGTAAGATGGTATGATTTTACCCATTATCTGCTTGGCTGGTAATTCCTATAAACTATTCTGGGAACATTTTTGACTTAGCTTCCCTGATTTGGTTCCTCCACAGCTTGTGGGAGGTGATGAGCGTGCAGGAATCAGTGAAGGTGGTACGTCCAGTGAGAGACGCAGTTTTGGCAGCCAAGAAGTTGCAGGATATGGCACAAAGTTATGGCTGCGAGGACAACTTGAGCGTGTTGGTACTGCGGTTCCACTCACTTTCTGCGGAGTTGGACCCCTTCGTGCAGGAACTGCGGACTACTCTTCGTAAAGCCACTTCACATGTGAGTGTCTCCAATGTACAAAAAACTATATATGTCCCAGGTATAAACTACGTGAATTTCTACATCAATTAAAAAGTAATCGATTTGTAATAACCATAAGCCAACATCTGACGAAGATGTTGGATACAAAAAAGATGCTGAACAACATGGCAGGTGTGATATTACTTTTCATGCCACAGTATTACTTTGAATGATACAGGGTGTATTCAAACTCTCTAGAACGCTTTGGTATATTTGTTCCTTAAGTCGAAGATAAGTAAGAAAAATCCTGAAGAGTTGAAAATTAGGATTATGAATTTAACTAATTTAGTTGTATACCAGTTTCCTGTCGGTGTGTTCAGATTTGGCGATGGCCATCTTCTCCACAGACAGTGTCTCCCAATAGGTGGGTGCCGGTGCTGTCTGTGAAACACCCGAGCCCTCTCCCTCTTTCGTCCTCGTCTTCTTTATCTCCCCCCAGACATCCTCATGTGTCAGGTGCTCTCACCCCCTCTTTCCACCTTTCTTCCTGGAGGCTTCATTAGAGTCAGCTTTGGGGGTTCCTGCTTTTTTCCAAGCAATCTGGTTCCCGGAGGAACTGGCTTTGCAGGGAGCAGGGTTAGGGTGCTTGGCAGCTCACGCCAGCCTCCTCTCACTTCTGGATAGCCCCTTTTCGCATTTGGATAAAGCATCTGCTATCCTCCGTCTTCGCAACTCGCCCCTGGAAAGTCTTTTTTTGAGCTTGTCAACATCGTCAGATTTCCGTAGACCTACCTCCTTCATTGGGGTCAGACCGTCTACGTTGTTCCCACAAATACCCGGTATTTAAGGTCCATCTCCCCTGTGACCCGATTAAGGAGGTAAGGGGTACGACTGGGTTCCACCTGGTTCCCAGAAGGCACTCAAACTCGTTAGGCCACCAGTGCCACGAGACTCTAAGCACGGATCGTATTCAACCTTAGTCTAGGCCCCTTATTCTGTTTTGAAGAGATTTTTAAGTATGGATAAGTTCCATAAAATGAATTTAATTTAAATTCATGTTTTTATTTTCGAAAACCCTAAGGTTAAATATAATAAACCCAACTAAAATACCAATTTATGTTTTAAAAAACTATTATGTATAGATTGCATAAAAACGCTAGTTTACAGTTATTATTTTTCAAAATGTTAATCCCCGGCCTACCTGGTGGGTATATCCCATACCCCCCGGTACTGGAGGCGGCTTGGGCCATCCCTGCTCCAGGGCGCTCCAAATCTGGCTACGACACTATTGTAGACTAATAATACTGAAAATGGGTAGCCTGAAGTAATATGTAAAACAGTTCCGTGCTAGAACCTAGTGTCCTAATATGAAAACGGGACATTTGTTTCTTTTGAACCCAACAAATGAGTGCTTCTGGTGTACACTGAATATTGTATTAATTTTTAAAATCTACATTTCATTGAGCTTGTAAATTATTAATGTTGTACACCCTCTACTAGTCTACCAACTTTGTAACAACAACAATTAATCTTCGTGCAGTAGTCCTAACCTTAGTTGTAATCATTGGATTTCTGTGGATTGTTAGTTGTAGCTAATTATAATACTTGTGGATCATAGGGTAAGGGGCAGGGAGGATGTCGATGTACTAATACTTCTTTACTTGTTCTGGTAGTTCTTGCATAATGGCTCAAGATTTGCAAACTGTGTTAACCATAAAATACACTAGGCGGGGTTCACCTAGTAGATTGAGTTGTATATGATCAATAATAAAAAATTGTATTGTTGCAGGGAAACATGTTAAGTGATGGTGAGATGGAGGGAGAGGGGGACAGATCCTCTCCTAGTGGTCAAAGTGATCAAGCTAGCAGTGGACGACATGGTGATCACTTGAACATAGTCCAGACTAGACACTATGTCGCTGACAAAGTAAGTTAACTGAACATGCACAGAAGACTCCCCTTATCCGGACTCCTCGGGAATGAGCCCAGTCCAGATAACGGGTTTTCCGGTTTACCGACGTCCCCAAAAACTTGTTAAAACAGACTGTTTTCTGTCATATCCGACTTAAATTTAAGAGAGCATTGTATTTAGACACGTGATCACTGGTCTCAAATCTTTCCCACAAGAACAGTCGTTTCAGTACTGCCCACTTCCTGCCGATCTAGTCCGGTTAAACCAATGTGCTGATAAAAATTGTCTGGTTAAAGAGATGTCATTTCCGCCGAGTGTAGCCCGGTTAAATGGTGTCCGGATAGGAGGGAGTATACTGTAGATAGATCTTGAACAAGGAGAGAGATAAAACTAAATTAACAGGCCTGTTTCATTAAAACCCCTGTTTATGTTTATGTAATATGTATGTGTACGTCGCGTGTGACAGTTTATGTTTTTGCATATTAACGACGCCATAAAGGCTGTACTACTGATAATGGTACAAAGATGCTGAAAGGGCCGTAACATTTGTAACATTACTATACGAGCTGATTGACAAAGGTAACTCTTATTTATTTAATGATTTTAGTCACAAGATCAGCTCAGGAGCTAAAAAACATGGATTTTAGCTAATTTAAGGTATGGTAAAGTAGCTAGCTACTAAACATTTAGCAATTGCAATCCAAAAACGTCATGAGTGATGTTATCTTGTTCTTCACTTCTTGCAAGTTTTTTTATTTACTATCATATACTCACTAGCTGTCATAGCTCCTACTCTTTCTAATGCTAAAGAAGACGTATGCCCCAGGGCATCCTCAAGGGCTCTTTACCTACTGAAACACCATACAAATATGATACTGTACAATACTGACATGGGCGAAATTTAGCTTTGGAGCACTCTTTGAAATGTCTTAAAACCGAAATTTTTCCCAGAATGACTTGATAACACCCCGGTCCTACCAGTCAGTTCTGATGCATGAGAATGGTACAAGGAAAATGACTCCAAAGCACAAAGGACTCGACCTTTACACCAATGGAAACTTGGCTGATGCCGAAGAAACATCTTCTGACAGGTATACACTGAACAGTTCACAGTACATGATTATTTAGTCTTTTTTAGTGCTGCAGATTTTCATTTTTTTTTTTATTAACTAACCACATAAACAAATTAGATGAAACAGTTGGGTAACTGACATTGCTGATTATTAAAAGATTACCTTTTGTTTGTGAGGAAAGGATTATTGCTTTGCTTGGTTCAACATTATGCCCAGTTCCCAGTTGTTCCGTATTCATTATTAGGTTTTTGATCAATTAATCTGGCTAAAACAGGTAGTTTTAGTAAAGAAAAAATTGTTACCTCATTCATTCTACACTTATTCTTGATTAATCTATATCCGTGGCACACAGTTGTGTGCTGACACCATTGTACAACTAACCAATTACTGTATATTCTCTTGAAATGGAGATTTCATTACTAAATAATAAAATTTATTAAGTAGATCATTCAGATTACTGACACACAGCATTGTACAAAATTCAAACAGTTCTTTAGATTCATTCAATTCCTAACTACAGACGATTGTGTAGATCTACAGCGCTGTCGGAGGAGCAGTTCCGGTGCTGGGAGTATATGCTGGAACAGAACACACAACTTTTGTTTGACAAGGAGTTGGATACTTTGTCTCGAGGGTTCATCCGTCGTTCTGTCCCATCCAGACCTACACTGTGGCCTCGAACGAGGAGCAACCCAGCTCTCAATGAGCCTACACAGCCCGCCTTGCTGTCCAGGTCAGTACTTTAATTTAATTGAACAGATAGAAGGGTGGTTAATCTTTAGTTTTGTATAAGTCATCATTGGGTATGGATGGTATAGTGGGGTGGAAAGCGGTATTTACACAGGCCAAAATGTGATGAGCAATAAAAGCTCTATTATGATTGTCAGTTTTGATTAAAAAATGTGATAAATCTACAAGATCAATATACAGGGAGCGGCAAAATGATCTGACGGTTTTCTTTGCCGCCCTGTCGAATGAATGAGTGCTAGTCCTCAGCGGTCTGCACGTAAATAAGCTGCGGCTCTGCAGATGTCTGGCCACTCGGTAGAAGAGTATTACGATACTACCTGCACTTTCATTCATACAAAATGGCAATTGTGCAACAAATAGTTGAAACCCAGTTTCTTATGCAAAGCGCATCTCATTTTCAGAACAAGTGATCGATTTGCTTACACGTGACAAAATTTTCATTATGACCGACGAATCGCACTTTCAACCACACCACACAGTCTTCCTCACTCTCTTGGTGTTCTCTGGTGTGCGGGCTGACCTTGGATGGTCTGTTGATATTAGTTTCAATGCTGAACTAGTAGCTCTAAAGTTACCCACCCACAGCAAAATAGTTTTTCCAGTTGGGACTTTTCTTCTTTGACACACATTGTCAACTGAATAGCTCCACAGGAATTGCCACTTTAAAAACACTTCCACTACAAATATATGGTGCTCAGCCATACACAGCTCCATGGCTACTAAAAATGTCCACACGTTGGCTTTATAACTCCCCTATTCCCACCACCCTCCGCCATTCACTCCCTCGACAGGGCGGCAAAGAAAACTGTCAAATCATTTTGCCGCTCCCTGTAGAATGTTTAATCCAAGGGGTAACTTTAAAATATCTTTCATGATAAAACAACAACAAAATTAATAATGTTGTTATTTCAGCCCTACTATTTATCCACCCCTTTACCAACAATTGAAATATCTTTTCCAGACACTTTGGGAGTGCCAGATCATTTCATCCGATCCCTAACAGACCTCTGGGCACCGTGAGGTCACTACACGGAGGCCCCAATGCAGCTTACTTCGGCAGTCTGCAGCGGCTGATGCCGTACCATCTGGAGTACGACTTTGCTGTGATCAGAGAGAGGTCTGAGCCCGGCAGTGACTCTCTTGAACAGGACGGAGGCAGAATGCACAAATACTGGGATGTTGCCACAACTGAACTATGATTCTTGTGTTTGAATGTCATAGATTTGCTCATATAACCCTAAATGAAATCAAGAATAAGGCTAAGTAGCTTAAGATTAACAATTATTAATAGTATCTCTAACATAAAACGTGAACTGATACTGTAGAAAAAATTTTTCATTCTCTGATAGTTGAATTAAAATATAAAAATAATCCTGTTAGAACAATAATCAATGCCTCTGAATTCATTGATCTTTGATGCACTTGCATTAAAACCCACAGGTTTCTTATAGATGAAGCCAAGAACCCACAGTTCAAATATCATTAAAATTTATATTAACAATTCAAATTTCAGTATAAAAAAGCTGGCTGTGTTTGAGTTCTGTATAAGTGAAAGTAAGGGTCTACTGTACTAACTAATCCTATAAATACGGGTTTTGTATTGAATTAGACGCCTGGAATTGTCTGTTAGTAACAGTTTAAGTAATAAACATTTAAATATGTAGAATTTTTCTTTGTGTGAATTGATTGTTTCCATAACATGTGCAATATAAATACAGTGTTCACATTACTAAACTCATAGAAACAAATCATGTAGACTTATTAGACCTTATAAATAACTTGTTTAGGAAAAGTAAGAAGCCAAAAATAGATGTACAACATACCTTATAGAATATAGAAATATGTAAAAATTGTAACTATGTATCATATTATAAAGTTATAGAGATGTATATATCAAGTTTACTGTGCAATCTGCAAGTTTAACATGAAGAAAAAGTGCAATGTACAACTTTATTTCATCATGTGATATTTTATTTCTATGTGAATTATACTAAAACTTTTGCTAAGGAATTGTATTGGTTGTATTTTTGTATTTTATACTCCTTTGCACAAAATATTTTTCATACAACCAATTCTGCGTAGTTATCAATCTAATTCACTACCTACCTAAATTTGACTTGTTATGTAGATGCCGATTGGATTAGCAGAAGTATATCTAAATTACTCTTTTAAAACAGTGCATTTGGGAACCACATTTTGTTATTGGATTACATTTCTATGATATACAAGAATACGAAGGCGATGATGAGTGAAAGATGAAAATAATATGAATGAGATGACACCTTTGTAACTGAATAAAATCAGCTGGTTCTTAAAGCCAGGACCATTTATCAAAAGCCAAATGATCTAAGACAGGTTGGTCCAGTTTCAAACCATCTAAAAGCTACTGACTTTTATCTGTATAATCTGGCGACCTCCTAATTACCAAGCAATCGTTTGAATCCACTTAGCTACCCAGATTTTTATTACTCATTCATGCACAAACTACTGGACTCTATTTTTTTATGGAAAAATGTTATGTAGATGTTATGTTGTTGAAGTTAAATTAAAGTAAAGGCTGAGATGCAACTTGTCTGGTAGTTGGAATGCAGGGATATTCTGCAATAGAGACTTGGATTCAAATCCCCCTAGCAACAAATTTAAAGTTTGCTTTCACAACTCTAAATGGCGGTATGATACACGGTTGACGTTACACACTCGTTTGGAATTCAGACTAAAAATTTCTCTTTATTGAAAAACTCCAACCATATAATAACAGTAGTTAAACCTCAGACTTGCAAGTGCAGGTGTGGTTACCTTTTTAAGGTGAGTCTTAGCTAGAATGATGTTGTACAAGTAACGGTTTGGATCTAAAAACATTTTAGGTAGAAAATCTTTAACAAAACTTTTTTGTTTCCCACAAAAACGTTATTTGTTAGTTATCAATTATCAATCATTGAGATGGTGACGCCACCTAGGTACGTATTTTAACCCAAATATGAGTGAAGGATGAGTGTAAAATGTTGTGAGATGATCTTTGTAGCTTTGTTACTGACTATAAGATCTGCTGGGTCCAGTTTCAAACCGTCAAAAAGCTTTTCTTTTAAAGAATTTTCCCAGGATTGAACCGGCGACCTTTTGATTGCTAGGCTACCACTATAATAACCACTCGGCTACCCAGTTAGAAGAATTAAACGTCTAAACTCAATATGTGTTTTACACATTATCATTACACTACAATCGACAATGTGAGTTATAAATACAAAATATTCACAATTCATGAGTTTACACATAAAAAAATAATGCCCCCGCCGCAGCAAACGTGGAGACTAAGCAAATTTCCATTTGCCTGATTGGATTTACACTAAAATATCTCATTAAAATATCACATCTATTCCCTTTAATATGTATGAGGTTTGCTGCAACAGGGAGGTTATAAAAAGTGTTGTTTAGTAAATTTTAAAATAGCTTAGTATAAAAAAATGCATTTTCCAAATTTTATCAAAATATGTTCATAAACAAGCAAACTACAACAAGTTTACTTATTCTCCATAAGAATAACATGGGGACACACACACACATATATATATATACAGACTGTCCCAAAAGTCCCGGACCGGTTTAATATTTTCCAAACGACAACAGATAAATCAATAAGATTTGGTACATCAACACCACACCTAAAAGTCTACTTTTTTTAAGGAAAAATCAATTTTCTGTCATATCATGGGGACGTCCCGCAAGGAGTCAGAAGGAAATCTTAAATAGAAGCATAGGTTGACATGTACATCAAATTAAAGGTTTTTACTACCAAAATATAATGCCGCAAATTTGAACTCAAACGGACAAACGAGCCAAGAATGGCAGTGGTTCAAAGATTCATTTAATTTGCATTGCTATTATACGCTTACTCCTCATAGGGGCACAGCCCTAGGAATCGGAAGAAAATTGTTAACATAAGCATAGGTCGATATGCACATCAAATTAAAGGTCTTCACTAGTAGATTACAATGCTGTAACTTCAAGCTCAAAAGAACTCCTGAGTAAAAAATGGCAGTCGTTCAAAATGGCTGATTCAAGAAATCTTTGAACGGCTGCCTTTTTTTACTCAGTTATCCGTTTGAGTTCAAATTTGCGGCATTATATTCTGCTAGTAAAGACCTTTAATTTGATGTACATGTCAACCTATGCTTCTATTTAAGATTTCCGTCTGACTCCTTGCGGGACGTCCCCATGATATGACAGAAAATTGATAGTTTCTTAAAAAAGTAGATTTTTAGGTGTGGTGTTGATGTACCAAATCTTATTGATTTATCTGTTGTCGTTGAGAAAATATTAAACCGGTCCGGGACTTTTGGGACAGTCTGTATATATATATATATATATATATATATATATATATATATGTATATGTATATAAATATTTATTAATATATGAATTTAAACAGATAGTGTCTTTGGCCTCTAGGGACCTCAAAACAAAAAAGAAAATCAGTCCCGGGTCTAGGTCTTACTATGAGTACCAAGGTAATAGCTTATTTCCTATATGGAAAATTCGCTTAATGTTCAACCTAGGTACTGATAACAAACTAGCTGAGTAAATGATATATGTTAACTCCTGTTCAACATTAATACTTCACTAACGATCCATCTCTGGCTTTACACTTTGTTAAGAACAAAAATTAAAAGAGAAACAGGAGGGAACATCCTATTGAGTAAGGTTTAACAACATAAGTTATTGATTGTGAGTGGGTCTTCTAAGAGACACTTGTGTGTTGAGATACCAGAGACAACAATAGAATCTCTTTAGCCAAATGTCTTGGTAACAGACCAAATTACATCCTTCAGAAAAACATAAAAACTTAACAGTTGACTGCTGAAATCACTACATAGCATATGAAGCTGATACTCAAAATCATGATTGAAATTATATGATATTGATTTCATCTACTTTTTTAGCTTTGAGGGATTGTACTTTGTTTGGAATAAGTTTTGAGAATTGGTGTCCCCATTTCAGATAGGGATGACAAAATTTTAAAATAGTTTTCATTTTATGCTAAAACTAATGCAAAAACTAATTCGTGTGTTTCCTTAAATTTTTTGAAAGTGATTAAGTTATGCAAACAGAAACAGTATAGAAATCTGACATTCGTGACTTAAAATATGCTGTCTTTATAGATACAACAGATTTTCTGCCTCTGTAAGGATTCATGAACTTCCAGTTATAAGTTTTAAGGCTAGATAGGCTATACTGTATGTTCAAAGTTACCAAAGTAAAGATCGGGTCGATTAGGATGTTGTGTGGGACAGATGAGGCAAAGGTTCCCTTCCCAACAATGGTAGTCACTACACTAGATGCTAGAGGTATTAAATTAACTGTGCAAAATAACAAAATGACAGTACTATGGAATTGTTCTTGTGTTCATCCACATCATGCTTGCCACTTTAATTGATACAATCCATTCCAAAAATTAATTTTCTTGAGCTTGATTTCTATAAGCATTGTTGATGATCCTTACAGTAGACTTAGATTTTTTCCCTTCCATTTTAGGTATAATAAGGAATAAATCCAAGAGAAAATATCAGTTAAGAATATATTTGTGAGACATTTTGTAAATATACAATATTCACTGACTAACCTGGTAAGGCACATTTCATGAGATATGCAAGATTTCCAAATATCTCTCCCTTAAAAATTATACTATTGTATCCTATAAAATTATCCTAAATGTAATTTAGCTAGCCTGCACGGCGTACATGGTAAATGGTTCATACACTGAGATAAAGTAGCAAGTTGAAACCTGCAAATTTCTTAAAACCTTCACTTTGAGACTTTGGCGTAAAACTTAAAAGACATGAGAATTATATGATTTATCAGAATTATTACACAAATATTGGTTCATTTTATCACAACTATCATGTAATATTGTAGACCTTCATTTTGCTCTGCTTTTAAATATTGTAATAAACTATGAATATTTTTGAAGGAATCCTTAGTGAGTATGTGTTAACTAAAGAAATACTTGTTTAAGTTTAATCTGGCTTTTAAGTTCTTTTTTTTTAATTGGCTAACATTAAAAACACCTAAAAGTTGTAGACAATTTCACTAGTTATATTTTAGAATGTGGTTGGAAAACATTAGCCAACAGAGGAATGTGTTTATGTAACTATTTATAAATATTTGTCAGTAAAGACATGAAAATACTTGAATTTCAAAAGATCAGTCCTTTTCACAAGTTTTTCTATTTTATTTACAACTTTTCCATTGCAATTGACTACAGTACAGTATTAACAATATAATAATGAGGGTTGTAAAGAATTACAACTGAAAAGAAAGATAAATAAAAATTGGTATGTACAACATAAGTTATGTTGTATGAATGACCAAAGAAGAAAATGTCAAGGAGAAAATGCCATAAATAGATTTTTTCACTGTAAAAAAAATATTTAAGTTAGCAGTCATTGACCTGGTCTAATCTATTCAATAATCCACATTATATTGAAAAACAATACAATGCTATATACATTGATACACAAAACTGCTGTGTATGCTAAATACATAGGCCTATCAGAAATATTTCTAAAAGGTTGTATAACATTTAACTACCATCACAGCCACATTTCATTTGTAACTTAGTTTTTAACCAAAAGTAATTAAAATACAATAGACTTATTAAAATGCAAAATGATCTAGAGACAGTCAATTCAGTTTAAAAATCTGGATTTTCGGGGTTATATGTCAGTGGAAAGACCGGGTGGTGCAAGCAGCAGATAGTAGGCCAAATTGCTTGACTATTATACCCTACATTTCAACATTGTAAAACATCGAATTCTACAATAGCTATGTACATTAAATAAAGGATACTAAGACTCGGCTACTTACACCTATAGTTTCTACGGCCTCTCAAATCATCATATAACCCACATAGAAAACAGAGTATCTGTTTAAGTGTACAAAACAAAATAGACATGCCATTTATGCAATGAGTAAGAAATTGAAAGTGTG